TTTTTATTGTTCATCATGGTAAGTATCAGTAGCAGTGAGACTAGCATGAGCAACATTAGGGTGTGGGTGTGCGTGTGTGGGGGTTGGGTGTGGTTGTGAACCTGCGTTTGCGTCTGCATGTTTGGCTACTAGTAGAGACATCCACATGAACAGCCTCACTCACACCTGACGCAAAACCACATCCTACATCCACACCACGCACATACACACACTCAAACGAGCACCCACACCGACACCCAGACAAATGGCTCATTCACACGTCACAAACATAGCCACACGTAGGGACAAATCCACCCACAGCCACAATCACATTCATATACTTCACATCCATATTCATGCCGATTCCCTGCAAATAATTAACTATTATGGTGCTCTAAACTGTTGTATGATACAATGCAAATAGTTCGTTTGAAAAGTAACACCTAAACTCTGCGCCAGAATTAAAGAGGGATTAGTATCAATTGAATAGCTCAGCAATGGCATGAGCCAGCAACCTGCGGTTTTCAACAGTCGATAGAAGAGAAGTGAGGATATCTTTTACCGATTATCTGTAAGACGAAATCCATTTAAAACTAATCATCTTCGAGAAATATGCAAAAGAATGCATAAAAATGACCTGCCATCAAAGTGATATTTTGATTTTGACATTTGATTTAGATTGAGGGACTAGAGATTTGCAGTTCAAAACAAAATGCGCTTTCTCCCTTTTCATTAAATTTTCATTGAAATGTCAAACTATTATGATAAACAGTGAAAACTTAGTAAAAAATTAGCAAAACTCTCTATGATTTGCGCCGGTAAATACAATACTCCGTTTGCTCAATCCTAGAATGTAATTAGAGAACCCTTTGCATTGTATCTTGAACTGCAGATCTCAAGTACCTCAATCTAAATCAAATGTCAAAATCAAAATATCACTTTGATGGCAGATCATTTTTATGCATTCTTTTGCATGTTTCTCGAAGATGATTAGTTTTAAATGGGTTTCGTCTTGTACATAAACGGGAAAAAAGATATCCCCACTTCTCTTCTTTCGATTGGTGAAAATCTCAGGTTACTAGCTCTTGCCGCTGTTGAGTTATTCAAATTATACCGACCCCTCTTTAATTTCGGTGCGGACATTACATGGTATACGCGAAAACGTCATTTAGTCGATAGTGGTATCAGTAATGTTTGATCAGCCTGCTTTTTTATTTTTATGTTTTTTTGGTTTATTATTATTATGTTTATATATTGTGTTGTAAAAAATAAAAGAATGTGTTTAACTCTAAAGCGCAAAAATTTTATTTGAATAATCATTAAAATATATCGTTGAAGTTCTGTATTTTATAGTTCACTGTTGTCAATAACAATATCATTGCGACTAGCATCAACAGGATGATATTCACCTTCGGCATGAGTAGCACCGTCAGGTGAAGCATTGTCAGAAATCAAGTTGGGTGCTTCTGATGAATAACATGGTTTACCAACATTATAAGCTTCTGTACCACAAGTTCGTGGACATTCATCATAATTAGTTTCATAGGATGGTGAAACACATCGATTGATTGCATCATTTGACCAATCATAATCAATAGTACTTTGACATGTATTTTTATATTTTGAATATGATCGTCCCGGACACGACTAAAATAAAAAGTTCATATACTTGTGTTGCTGAAGATTTTTTTTTGAATAAAAAATTTACTATATCCTCAGTAACACCAGCATTACGAGCCCGTTGAACAAGTGTTGCTGGATCTAAAAGCGATGCCCCATAACGAGCTATATAACTGCAAGGATCTTTTTGCGAAACACCAAGGTATCGAAATCGTCGATATACACATGATTTAGCACAATCATAAATAATAAACTGATTACGCGGTTGTGGATAAGCTGGAGCAGGAGGAGCAGGTTCAACAATTGTACGACGTTGAGTTGGACGTTCGTAGGGAAGCCATCGTTCAATTATAATATCGCCTAAATACCAAAGAAACAACAGTCTCAAATTTAAAAAAGCAAAAAGAAAATTCCAGATAATTCTTTTACGTGGTTTTTCTGGAGGAGGTGGAAAACGTTCGATGATAACTGATCGTCGTGGAACAGGTAAAGCAGGTACACAACGAGTAACTGTAAAATAAAAGACATTGATCAATCTAATGCATGTAATTAAAATTTTTTTTTAACTTGTTTGACAGGGAATACGTGGTGGTGGTGGTGGTGGCCGCTCACGTAAGATAAGTGCAGGTGGTGAACAACGAGCTGGTGGCTGTTCACGTATAATAAGTGGTGGAAGTGGCGGTGGCTGGGGTGGACGCACTTCTTTAATAATGAGCATCTAAAGTCATACAAAGATTGGTAAGATTGAATTTGTAAAGATTTGTTTCGTTACTCCTGGTTCTGGAGCCGGTGGTTGAAGACATCGAAGAAAAACGCGTTGTTCTTGTTTTGTTGAACAATCACTTGGTCGGTGAATAACTTGTGGATGACAATCCTTATAAAGATTAGGTGTTCTTTCAAGGTATGAATTCGTTTCTGCTGAACTACTTGTATGAATCACTCTATCACTAATAAAATCACTAGCCATTGTTGTAGTTCCACATGGAGCATATTTATCAACCAGACATCCCGAAGTATTTGTATAATTAGTTTTATACTTATATTCATCACAATAAAGTCCACGACTTAATGGTTCACGTGGTGAACAAGGCCAGCTTCGAGAATCTGGAATCCATTGGGGACATTCCTTTCTATCAAAACTAAA